CCCCGACACGGGCCCCCGCATGGCAGCCGCCGGTCACGCACCCCTCTCCACAGGTGCATGGCATTTTCCAGAAAGGAAACTCTTGCAACGAATTCACCCCTTGGCTTGCTGCGGCATTGCTGCAAGCGAGCGAAGAAATGTCGTGGAGTACTCGAGGGACGCCAGGCCCGGCACGGATGCCATGTTTCTGGCCTGCTAGCGTTTGGCTCCCCAAATTAACCCAAGAGTCCTAGCTAAGACGTAAAACAAGCCATGAGGCAGTTACATGGCATAGGCCGTAAGTTCTGTGCTGTGCCTCAGCTTCTAGCAGCTAAGCCCGTCGGTCTGTGGTGGCACAAGGAGCCGTGTCTGGTGGGTGATCTGCGTACGCCAGCCAAGCCAAGCCTCGGGCCGAGCCACAGCCATGCTACCGGCAGTGCTTTCCAGATTATCTAAAATGAGTTACAGTGACAGAAGAGACAGTGAGTCCCCTTTACTGTCAGACCCTTTGACCAAATAACAGCCTGGAAGGAGACACAAATTGTTTACCGCTTTTAGTTTTACTTGCTGTACGTATGGCATTTGTGAGAAAGTAAAAAGCAATCTTGGTGCTTAAAATACTGGAAGAAACTTGGGCCTTTCTAAGTGGGTGGGAGGGAGGCAGGCAAGTGACACTGTGAGCTCTTGCTGAAACTCGGGTGCTTGGCCATCGGCTACAAAAGCTTGGTGTGGGAAAGACTGGCACATGCAAAGAATGTGATGTTACGTGAAATGACAATGGCTGATCCATTCCTGGCTCCCTCGGATCAGCCAAGCTCCCTGCCTTTGTCTTTTAGACTTCTTTCCACTCTGAAAAATAGTGCTTTACCTGAGAGAAGATATTAAAAATATGTTAAAAAACACTCAAGGAAGGCAAACTGTCTAGCTCTGTCTCAAGGTAAACCCTGGCTACAGTGTCAGGCTTTTCTTGGATGAATTTCTGGTCATAGCTGCCTTCTTCATGTTATTTTACAAGCATTAGTTAATCTACATGAAAAAAAATTCTTCTATCAGTGAGGACAAGCCCTCTAACCAAAGACCAAAATTAGACCCATTCTAATTAGCATTTTTATATAAGAGGAAAAAGTAAGGCCTTCCCTTAAAGCACCTAATATGTAAATTGTTGAATTTATTTTAAAACAAGCAATTCCATGAGCATGGGAAGCAATGCAAACTGACTTGCTGTTTTCTCCCCTGATGCCCCATTTCTCTCATTACTCCTGGCTTCTCCTTTTGCCCCTCATGACGTACGTCCCTGGCTAGTTTGGAGCCATGCCTGTGCTGGCTGGCCTGCGGGCACACTCCCTCAAGCTGCATCCTATGGGCCTTTCCCTCGGTGTAAGTACCAGTGTCAGCCTCTCTCCACTGTCTAGCCACTGTTTTTCTTTTTTCCTTCTGTTTTTTAATAATAATATTTAATATTATTTAATAATAAATATTCTTATATTAGGAGACTGACAAGACAATTATATAAAGTTTGTTTCTTTAGAGAACTAGACAAAAGATTTTAAAATGTTGGGTTGCATCTGGTTTATTTCCCTCGTGAAAGATCAGTGAGATCATTGAGAGCAGGGTGTGATTCAAAGCACCCAAGCATAAGTAGAGTGCTGTTCTAATTCATAATCTTTATTTTTAACCTTAATAGGAACAGTTTTAAAACAATTCTCTCAAAAAAGTAGAAAATGCTAAATAAAAATACAAAAACTATTAATAGGAACAGTTTTAAAACAATTCTCTCCAAAAAGTAGAAAATGCTAAATAAAAATACAAAAATTATCTAGTCAAGATAAAAATGCCTAAAAAATGCATTTTTAAATTAACTTGTTCATCTGTGGTACATGAGGGTCCATTAAGTTCTTGGGCTGTTCCTCCTGCCACTGCCTTTTCCATCTATTTACGTCAACTTTATAACTGAGTTTATTCCAGTTCTGTTCCATTTCACACTATTAAATTCTACCACACAGCCCCTCTTTGAAAGAAACAAAAAAAGAGTATATTAATCTCATGTGAAAGGACAGCTTTGATTTTCACAAAATATAGGAAAAGGATTCTTTGAACAATTCACAAGCTTATTTCTTAAATCTTTGCCTGCTGAAAGTTCAACTGAGAAATGAAGACCCTAAATGAACCAAATTCTATTAAGATCATTAAAACAGAACTGTACAGAGTTCAACCCAATGTTCTCCCAAAATATCTCAAATTGTTCCCAAAAGATAGAAATGTAGCCAGGCAGTTGGTGAACTTGCACAAGTCTTCATCCCAGCTGCCCAGGTGGTTCTCAGCTGGACATTTTCATGGGTTTTCCACCTATTCTTTGGCATCCCCAATCCCTCCAGCTGTTATTGCAAATGTGGCTTCATTTTCAGGCATTTCGGGGCTAGTAAAACAAACAAACAAACAAAAAAAGAAACAAGAAACTTGTGGGTTAAATGCAGTTGTGGAACAGTCCCCGAAATGTTGTAAGTGTAAGCAACCTGGAATACTTCAACGTCTTTATACCTATGTGCAAACTGTAAAACGTGATCAATATTATGAAGAGTGGACAATGTGAAATCCACCTCTTGGAAGATGACAAACACAAGGGAGGAGAATGGAGAAGGTGCAGGAACGGGAAAGATTCTGTCTGTGCAAACTCTCATTTCAATTTCTTAGTTCCTGGCCAGAAACACTGGTCTCTCTGTGCAGTTCCACTGGTGTGATTTTTAATGACTTGTGTCTGCCACAGATTACCAGGTAAAGTGATACTAATTGTGTCACCAAAACTTAGTAATTTAACAGCTCTGCAATTTTCCTGCAAAGGGACCACAAGTCTTACCAAACTATCTGGTGGTCTTCCTTAAGAGATGAGCATCTAGTAGGATTTATGATGAAAGAGTGTGTAATTTAATGTATGCAATATGCAAGACAACTTTAAGTCTGTTAATTAGTTTGTCCTTTCAGGTTTTGTCTCAACTTACCATCCAGAAATGTAGTTACTTGGAAACTATGAATTGGCTGTCAGGCCAATTCAGAACTGTGAACTTTGTCACCTTATGGTTGCTCAGAAGACGGCTTCCTTCCTGTGAAGCAAAGGTGATTTACCTGTCGTATATCTTTGCAATACGCAGCTCCCCTCTCCCTTTTCTCAAGCTAATCCTGGTAGTCGAAGCATGAGCAAGGATGTGGCCTCCAATGGGCTTTTTCGGGTCTGCCTGAAAGCTAAATTAGCAAGTAAATTGTGATGATTCACTGTGCAAATTCAATAGGTTAATACTGTGATTAACTGTCAGATGAGGCATACTGAACTCAGTAACGAATATTGGATATGTAAATATATCAAAAAAGGACTTTAACACACTTGTGTCAAGATAGGATGTTGAAATGCTCAATGCTGGCATAATTTTCTTCTCACTAAATTCAAGAGGCTCAAGAAATACACACCTTAAACTTCATATATAAGCTGCTCCAAAAGAAAATGGGGTGCTTTTTCAATACTTTTTATGGCTTGTTCTCTTTGTGCAAGTCACAGTGAAAGAAGCCATCATGCCAGGCAGCAAATAAACACAAAAAAGCTCATTACGAAAAATGAGAGAAACCTATGGGCGCCATGCATGAATGATTCATCATACCAGAGGGACCAATGACCAATCTGAAACTTCATTTCGGTGCCTCTTGCTCCATATAATCTTGGTTCTCATCTCTGTTAAATACATAATACAAAAGAGAAGAAATTTTTTTTAAAAAAGAGAGAAGAAGTATCTTACGTCATAGTTGCTCCTGGATCAGCAGTCATCTGGTTGGTCACGAACACGGCCACGTTATATTCTGCAATAGAAAACAATGCAAAGAAGGTGGACTATATCCAATTAGAATTCCAAAATATTCTCCCATCCATAGTAAAAGCAAGGCTGCTGCTGAGGCACTTCAAATTTCAAATGAAAGAGAAGCCAATATTCTTTATGCCTGATAGCTGGAGTTAATCAGGAGACAGCCTAAATTTGATCCTGTGTGACTTCAGCTGTAAGACTTACACTGAAAATGCACACTTTTCAGAATTCCACTGAACAAGTCTTTCTCAGTACCCATCTTCTCTCTTGGCCCCCTTCCCTCAGCCCCCCCTCTCCTCCTGTGTCTGTTTGGCACTTTTTTTTTTAAATTTATTTACTGCATTAAAAAAAACATTTACTCATTCCTCATCAACATTTCTGAGACATTCCAGTGAGGAAGAACCCTATTCATCCTGTCATCATTGCTCAGAGCATTGCAAAGTACAGGGAACATGGCAATGGACACAGCTTTTTTATCTCTCTGTGCCTTCGTCCTTTTTTCTGTTCGTCATGTTTCTCATGTATTTAGACTGTCAAAATTTGGGGAAGACAATTTCTCTTACTGGGTATTTGTCCAGTTCTACATCCTAGGCTCTCACTTAGGACTTCTCTTAACAGTATTTTTAGGAAAACTCTAAATGTTGAATAGTTCTAAAGACTCCTTAATCTGTCATCCTGAAATAATGTATCAGTTTCATCTTTTTGGTAACTGACAGAGGCGTAAAGTGAGGAAAGATTCCTGGGCCAGTGCCTGATTGATAATACAACTCAGACTACTAGGTGGGTGTGCTACCAACAGCTACTGTTTCAGTAACTCCAGTCCATGTTTTCCAAATTTTGCAATGTTTCCCTTACCTTCTGATATTTTTTGGAGCCTTGACAGCATCTGAGCTAGTTTCTGTTGTCGTTCAGCCAACTCTCCACGACCACTGAAATCCACACGGAAAAGTGCCATTATGGAGTCAATGATCTGCATTGTAATTATGCTAGATAAGTAAATATAATGAAAGAAAATAGGAAAACATATTCTGAAAGCCGTAAGCATACAAAAAAAATTAGTTTTGTACCAATAGCTTGAAGATACCAGCTTCCTCATGGAACTTGGCTGCTACATAGTCAAGCAATTCCATCTGATGTTCACCTGGTGGGAAGTACAGTTGCCAAATGAAATTAGGACCAGAAAGAGCTCTGAAGGAACAAAAGCCTAAATTTTAAAATTCCACTTTAAACGTCTGCACTGTTTATATTTTCACTGCCATCAGTTTTAAATCCAGTGCCCAATAGCAAGCTACCTCTACATTAACCAGTAGTGCCTGTGCTCCAGTTTCCACTTGCCCAGTAACGCTTCTTTGTAAATAAAACTATGCATGAAGACAACTTTTTTGTCTTAAGAACTGAAAAGCAATATAAACATTTGAATTTAATGTTTAATTAAATCATACACTCAGGTTGTATTAATCATATTATACATGTTCGTATTGTACTCTCAAAGTCCCATTTTAAAACTTCCTTGAAGCTTTAATGCAATGTCTTGTGACAGAGTGTATTGGAGCTGTCCCTATAAAGTTCCACTCACAAGTTCACAGATAATTTCTCAACAGCATTTATAGAATTAGCTTACATTCAGGCAATCACGGTTACATTAATTGGTGCTTCTAGTAATAAGATGCTACGCTGACACGCGTCATATACATGGAAGAGTTCACTTAATGTTGTGGCAAACAGCAAAACTTTGTTTATGTAGTGCAGCTGAGCTGGAATACTTCCACTGAGCAAGTCTGCTCAGTGTACAACAAGAGAAAGAGAAAATGGAAGCAAGTTTATAACTTTTGCTAGCAACAAAATATTCTTTATGCTCCTCGGTGGGCAATCTCAGTCAATAAATTGAGAACTATTAAAACGGGAGCCACAGAGAAAAAATACAGATCTCATGCCAGTTGCAATAATGGTCTTACTAGTATATGCACGTGCGTACAGCACATTGTCAAGTACTGCATCATGGTCAACATTGAAGCGATCAGCAATGTCACGAAGACGGTCTGGTCGGCTGACATTAGTCAAAGTTAAGGACTTCTCTTTGTACAAACCATGCTCTGAAAATAATAAAACTCCATTCCAAAACAGAAGTATGGAAAAACAAAGAATAATATTTATTTTGATCCTAAAGAAGACTGACTTTTTCTCTTCACACTATCCCACATACCCTAAAGATAGCTTAGGGCTCACGGTGATAATTGGTTTGCGTTTAGTGTTTGAGGTGAGGGGGTTGGACATATGGATATCTGTGCTCTAGGAATTTAGCTGTGAGCAAAACCTATTTATACAGAGTCTACCACAGATACGAAGTGTTAAAAATAGTGTTTAGTACTTAGATGAATTTCTTGAAGTAAATAGAAAAGCTTCTGTCACCTGTATCATGATGAAGAAGGCATATTAGATCTCTAAAATACCAGTTAAAATAAAATCTGTATCCTAACTCTCATTTTTCCAGGTTGGATTACATCAAATGACAGAGAAAAAAAGTCACTGCCTTGTGGGCCACTACACATTTTACATGTATTAAGCTATCTGGAGCCTCCTGCTTGCTTATAACAAAATGAACTGTCTTTCCAGTTCATCATTCCTGTAGCTTTCAACAGTCCAAAAGATACAAAGTGTTTTCAGTATCGATGAAGATAATCTTTCCACCTGTGTAGCCATTTGGTCCTGGAAGCTGAGCTGTCACTGCAGTGAATCGTAGAATATCAAAATGAAAAAGCGGGAAAAATATTTTCTTACTCCCTCTATCATTATTTTTTTAACAAAATACGACTGGTTATCCATATCACAAAGAACCACCATTTTTAATCAATGTGGAATCACAAGTATCTCAAGTCTTACTGCCAGCTTGAGCAGACACTCAAGCCACTTCTCTCGACTGGGGACCAGCTGAGATTTAATTAATGGTGTCAGAATTGTGTTTTCCTCAGTACCATCACTAAATCTGTATATTTTCTATTGAAAATAAGTAAGGATATTAGTAAGAAGTTCTTAGGGACAAGGCATCCTCTTAATCTACTCTGCCCAAATTCATGATATTGATATAGTAGGGTTTTTTTCCAGCTGTAACTCATATGATCATAAATTCTTTGGATATTAATTTTTCCTGATACGTGAATAGTTACTCGTTGTGGGTTTAGTCTCTTTGGAGTGAATAAGCTAACAGACTCAATTAATTCATTTGTAATCATTCATGGAGAAGGGTATGACTCTGCTGATCAGTAGACTGTACTAAACAGAAAAGGCCTTGTTTTTCCAGGCAGTGCCATAATTCCTTTTATAATATGGGGTTCATTTAAGGGAATGTTTGCCTATCCAGTGTCTGGTAACTATATTCCAGCAGCATTAGTGGTTACATTAGTTACTATTTACTACCTTGAGGGATATCGCAGGGAAATCAGAGTCCTGCTGCATTTGGCACTGCCCGAACACGGTGACTGCCAAAGTCTTTGTTTATCCAGTTACGGTCAGCCAGTAGTATTCTTTCAGTGCCCTTCCCGAATGCCATATTCAGCAAAAACCTCTTGAAACCAGGAAATTAAAAGAGTTGCTGAGAGAGAATCTTGCCTGTGTCTTTTTCTGAGCAATGCCCCTGTCCACCTGTAACTTAAATTTGTGCTCTGCTTTTCCAGATGGTTTCACCGGTTTCTCTAAGACAGTCTATTATCTTCTCTCTCCTTAAAACAAAACTTACACTGACGTGAGCAGTATTAAAAAGTAATCATTTATATGAGTTCTCTACTCAAAGACAATTACTGGAGGCAAGAGTCACCAAGGTTTGTTTCACTGTATTTCTAGAGATAAAATATTCTGACTTGTCTGTATGAGTTTAATTCTGATATAGTTGTAAAGAATGGATTCACTGAGAAGAAACAGCTGTTTTAAGGTAGTACACCTACCGCACAGGGTGTGGGACAGCTGGGTTTTGCCTGTCCGGAACTCTGTTAAATAAAGAAGACAAAAGGTCAGGATTTCTTCTTCTGTTTGCCAGACTCAGGAGTCACTGCAGTTAGAAACACTCTTACTCACAAAATTTACCTCTCTCTCAACCTTTTAAAATCATTTAACTCCAATTTATAAATGATATTCTGTGCAGTAGAAATGTGTTACGTGAAAAGCAAAATCTGAAACACTTTAATTGGATTATGCTTGACTGCAAAGGTCATGTATTCTTTTCTGTGTAGAGGTTAAATATCCCACGGCACCTAGGGAAAAGTGTTAACTGAGGGGAGGGGAGCGGAACAAATGGTTGATTCCACTGACCTGGCCCAGTTTCATTTTCAGTACAAAGGTTGAGGAGGAGCTTATGAGTTTATTAATCTCATTATATCAAATTATGTCAGTCTCCAGTTTATCTTTCTAAAGGGAAGAATACTGTGTTTCATGAACTCTTCTTGATGTTGAAGATGTTGAAAAGTAACTGATCAAATACTATACTATATTATTACTATAATATATTATTACTATAATATATTATTTACTATAATAGTAGCTTAATTGTGATTTCAAAATCTTACATAAAATGCAATCTATCCTAAATGTGCATAAATAAAATATCTTTTGTGGCAGTTTTGTTACTGGAAAGGAACACAGATTGCATCAGGGAAATCTTTCCTATATGACACATTAGTATTCATAATGCTATTTTGTACTGAATCAGCATGCCCCAAGTCTAATGATTACTCAGCTCAAACTTAGTCTGCAAGCAAATGCAGAGGAAAAACAGGAAAACACATAGAGAAGTGGATTCTTTCTTCTTACACTAATGCAGGTACTCGTCTTTATGACTACAATGTGATAAGTTTGACAGAAGTAATCCAGCTTGATTTAAAATCTAAACTAAGTTGCAACTCTGTTCAGTCGTACTCATTTAATGTGGTTTTCTCACCTCCAAAGGCCTCAGTGATTGCCATGCTTTCAATCCCACCACCCAGAAGTTTGCTGGAGAAAGGGAGAGGATTATGACACAGTTAAATCCACAAAATCACAAGAACAAAGTAAAAAAGATAAATTTTTGCTACTTTAAGAAAAGTTATTTCTGCCCTAAAGCCCCTTGCTTGAGACATTAAGTGCAGAGCACTAAATGATCGCTGATTCATAAAGAATTAACTCTGTCTCAACCTTCCTTTCTGTGTGCAAGAGGAAGATCTATAGAAATTATTACTGGAAAGGAAGTAGAGAAAATACCTTTGAAAAGATAACTTTCTGTAAAAATATCTCAAGGGAGGTCTTGAAGACTTACTATAATTTTGACCTAAGACCTGCAGGTTGTTTCGAGTAGCTGAAAAAATGATGCTATGTTCAGGATTTCTGGATGCAAACTCAGTTTATGTACAGTGACTGTACAATGTCCAATTTTCCCTCAGAAAAGGAGTTGGTATTGTTGCTTCCTGAAGCAGGCATCTTTGAGCCAGCACTAGCTGCAAATGCATGGTAACCTACGTGTCCTAGCTGAATATTTGTTCCTTTATATTTTTGTGTCTCGTTAAAGACAATAAATGTGATTATTGGAACAATTTGCACTAAGGAAGGATTTAAGTAGAGATAAGCTTACTCAAATTCCTGGCTGCCAGTAGTAATATGAAATACCATCTTCCGCTTTTCGCTATACTCAAAGGCAGTCAGGAAGCCTGGTTCCTAAGGAAGACCAAAGAGAACACAAGAGCTTTGTTTTAGCTTTAACCTGAAGGTAAAGCGCAATATCCCACACGAACAGCTTCTCTCCATCATAGCCTCATTTGCACAGGTTGGGTATGAAAAGCATCACAGCATTTGTCTGGTTGTTGTTGAGTATAAATTATTATCCCTTTAGAGTAATGAGCAGAATAATTTCCAAAATTGCCTTGATGATTTTCTGAAAAAATCTGTTAAGAGAAATGTTGCACAGCATTTTGGAGACGCCAGCATAAATTTAAACTACAAGAAAAGTGATTGGCTTACAATAAGTTTGTTTGCGGCTTCTTTAATCTTGTCCACTTTGGCCTCTGAAAGCCCTTTTACATTGCACAGTGCCCGTCTGGTGGTCATCTGGACTCCTTTGATTGTGCAGATCCCAACTGACTTCAGTTTTTTAATATCTGCTACGTTCTGTGAAGAAAGTTCCCTTCCATGAGTACTTGTGACAGTCAACAAATAGAAGGTGAAGTTAAGTCTTTGAAACACATTTTATTATACATTCACATGTATGTGTATTTTCACCAAGAAAGGAATAGATTTACAATAAACTCTTTGTTATGATACCAATAACAGAAAATTTTCAGTAATATTGGTGTGAGGGATAATGGTGCAGAGACATCCTTGGTGCTTTCGAGAGAAAGGCGCCTTGGGTCCAGTTGTATGTACCTGTCCCTGTTCAGTGCCAGTCTTTCTAGATCCAAGTTGGTAGTAAAGCAACAGTATGGATTATTTCAGATAGTGGGGAGCCCAGCCTAGTGAACCCAATAACACTCAGTCTGTTCTTGGTCCCTTAGCACAGATAAACTCTAAACCAGATAATCTGATCGTGGATAACTGGGAGCTGATTTGCAAGGATCGTCAGAAGCTGACTCTCACTGCTGCACTGTTTCCGCCTGTTCACAGTATGTCCAGTTTAAAACAAACATATCCTCCAGATCTGGCCAACGCTTTGGGCTGGAATGAACTTACTAGAGTTTTTCATAAATTGGGTACAGCATGACTTCAGTCAGCACCCTACTAACATTATTTTGCCTCCTCTCATCTCATTTTATGATTCTGACATCACTGGAAACTTAAAGGCAAGCAACAGATTACTCAGAAGAAAACATACTGTGTGAAAGGTTCAGGATAGTACTTCAATCTATCGTATCAAGACAAGTTTTTTCTTTGAATAAAACTACAGACTGGATGTATCATCTATTTATCTAGAGCGTGTGGGTGCATAGGACATAAGAATGGAGTGGAGCTAGGTTAGAAATTAGTCCTGTGTTCACTGCGAACATCCTGCGATGTGTTTTTTGATTATTACATCAACAGAGATAGGTGAGGTGAAATCGGTCATGAATAAAAATGACAGTTCCACCCAAAAGAATGTAATAACCAGAAATATAAAAAGGATTGAGCTGGCTTATTGTGATTTTCTATTAAGACAACAGGCAACTATACAGCGTTCTGCAGTACTCCTGGTGTAACATACTGACGTGCCTGCCCCCTCACACCAGCTGCTTATCCTGATCCTCTACTGCATGTTGCAGCCCTGTCCCAGTTGTGTGCCTCTGAGGTGGAAAAGTGAGCAGACTGAGAATTTACAAGCAAAAAAAACCTAAACCATGTTTTTTGTTGTGATAATTTTTGGATTAATTGATTAACAAATTCAGTTCACAGGGTGACTACAAAAGCAGGTGTGCCAGAAGAAGGGATGGCACGCCCCAGGGGCAGGAACACTCAGCAAAGGCTGTGGGGTCACAGCACCTTAATTCCTGCCAAACAATTTTGAACATCAAAGCACAACCTCAGTTGTGCTAATCTGACTCTTTTTGTGGCCACACTGTCAGACCTAGTAAATATTTCTCTCTACTCATAGGAAAAAAAATACTAAACCTACAAAAATTATTTCTTTAAGCATATGAATTTAACAGATATGGGTCATCATATGTTCACACAAAGATTTTAACTGGCAATGGCTGAGAACAAAAACATCTCCTGGGGTGCAGGAATAACCACTTGGAAGGAAGGAAGAAAGAAAGAAAAAAAAAGGAGCAGGAAATCCTTATTAAGCCATAAGAGCAGCCTGTCGTTATTCTTTATTTTCAAGATCTTTCATACCTTAGTATCATTCTCTGCATACTATGCCTCAATTAACATTGACAGGCTAGTACAGCTCCCAGCTCATGAGGTCAGCCTCTTTGGTCAACTTGTTAAATTTTTAACACAAGAATTTGTGTATTTTTCCTATGTTACCCCATAGTTAGAGCTACCAACCTCATCATCCTTCTTCAGAAGTCTATTTAAAACTCTCAGTGAATTGCCAATAAAAAAAAAAGTTGACAAGAAGTACGCTGCTGACATGCTGAGCCCAGTAACTACAGCGCTGACTAATGCTGTCTCATTGTATCTGTGTCCGTCCCACCTGTGTCTGTCTGTAGTCATTTATCTTAGAGTTAAATCTTACATTACTTCAGGCAAATCCAACTTTTTATTATGCTTCTATGACACTGAATGTAATAGGCTTCTATCCATGAGCCAGTCTCCTGGATAGACAGATAATGATAGTAATTCAAATAAATAGGTGATGTTTATGTGATAACAATGATGATAATGATTACAGGAATTCATATTTGATGAAGAAAACTAACCACTTAGTTCTCTAGCTATGACTGTTTTTCTCACTCCGACTCTACCCCCTTCACCAGCGTGCTGAAAATAGTATAGCAACAATTGTCACAGTGTAATTTCACAGGCACCGAAAATGCAGGAGTAATTACAGAGATTGGCAGGAACAGGAAGTAATTTATCACACAGTTTTCAAATAAATTAGCAAGTAGTTGGTTTTTCAAGAGTGCTGGGTGCTAAATACTTTGAATATCTTGCCACTTTATTTAGGAATCTGACAGGAATGAGATTTTCTGAAAACCTGTCTTATCAGGCAAAATTTGTCTTCAAATGACTGATTTAGAATTTATTGCAAGGAGGAATTTCAGCTATTTGTCTCAATGTGTATACACTTTTGGAGAAATAACCTTACAATAGCTTTATGTGGACAACTCTGTGTGGTAAGTCATTGCTAACACTTACAATTCCATGCTTCTGTAGCAGGTCAATATCCTGAAAAAAGGATTCCTAAAAAAAAAGCAGAAAAAAAGTAGATTTTGCTTTTTCTTGTAATTACATCTGTCTCACTGTGTGTCTGTTTCAAATTTGTAAACATTTATATGATTTTCTCTAATGATACGTAACTTGTTGGACTACCCAAATAAGCAGTGCCATAGTGAGCCAAGAAGGCCTACACGTTTCCTATCACCTTCTTCATAAAGTGTATCTGCTATGCTAATAAAACTTGTGTTAAGATCATCATCATCTTGATTTTTTCCGCCACAGTTCCTCAGACTTTTCAGTCTGATGGCCATTCCTTGGAAGCATAAAATTAATTGACAGTCCCCTTGCATTTAATATAGAAGTGTAAAATATAAAGAAATAATGATAATCCCATTAAAAACTGTGCATAGTTTTTGGGAGGTTAATGAAGAGTATTTGAAGAGCAAGGCTGGCTGTACAAGGACAATGAGATTTTCTTGGAATTAGACTGGAACAAAAATTTAAATGCATTGAACTCCCTGGTGGTCTTTGGGGACCTCCTGTCTCTCCATGGATTTCGTAACACTATCAAACAACACCTGCTGCACATATTTTTCAATCAACCATAAATATACCTCATCATCCTGGTATCCTGGTTCTTCTTGGACTACTTGATCCTCCATGGCCTTCATCGTGAAAGAGCAGGCAATGAAGTATTGATCGCTACTGGGAAATGCAAACAAAGATAGTATTTGGTTGGCAATAAATGAGTATATGACTGTAAAAGGACTTTTAAGAAGTCCTTGAACTACAGAACCTTCTCAGTCTGCCATCGCATCTGGATTTAAACTCAGATTCTGCTTCCAACTCCTCATTATCTGACCTGCCAGACCAAAAGAAGAAAATCTACTGTGTTACACGCAGATGAACGAGTTTGCCTAGAAAGGGTTTAACAGGTATTAGGAAAAGAGATCTCATTCTGTTGGGAGAATCTTGGGTCAGAGATGAGTTTGGAGGTGGGAACATTTTAAATGATTTATCATTAGTAGAATTTACCCTGGTAAGAAAGTTAAAGGCCGTCTGTATTTTTGTAACAAGAGTCAGCACAGTTGCAGACAGAATGGGTAATGGAAAGGCTATGCAACATCTAAGCTTCCCCATCTTTCTGTGACAGAAAGCCCACAAAACAGTGCTATTGAGAAGGCTATATCTCCTTAGTCATCTGTCTCTAGAGTACACTATAAAGCTGTGTTTGTTTTCAAGATCTTGCTGGAGTTCAGAATACCTAATAAATGCTGAAGACGTGCAAGTAACGCCTGGAAGAAGTAGGCTTGCATGAAGAGAATAAAAGAAGGGTAATAAAAATCTGAGGCTTTTATTATGCAAAAACATATACAGAGAGCTTATTTCACAGTTTTTCATGGTCAACGTGCCATGTCTGTACTTCCACTTCAGCTTCACAGCCCTCTTTATGCGACTTCCTATAAGCAAGGCCTAGAACCAGAATAGGCACTTACTGACAGCACGAGCAAATAAAAAGCAAAATATGACCTCCTTAAATTTTATGAATTCAGGAAAAATGAATACAAAGTAGTTCCTTAGAAATATGATCTTATAACCTGCTGTATCTTTTTTATGGTTTTGTAAATTGATATGTTGCTTCTGTCTTAATTGTGAGCTTGCCTTCACTGTTATAGCTATGGCTGATCAAGAGTTTTGTAAACTATCTCATCCAGATGCGTGTATATATATATATATGCTTGCTCATTCTCGTTAATAAAAACCCATGAAAAGTAAGTCAGGTTTATTATGAAACTACAAGATAGTCTATGTTGAACAGAGGACGGGATAATTTAGACTAAACATCTACAAATAGCTTTTTTGAGCTTCTAAACGGATACTTAAGGTCTGTCTAACTTGCTTGCAAGAATCTTGTGTATACAGAGGCTGGGAGAAGTGAGAAAGAAAATACTGTAATTTTAGAATGATCTTATTTGGTTTTGGAGTGAAAATACGATGGAGTCACTTCTGTTCATATTTAATGGAGATATTCCTATAAAATAAGTTGTTTCTGATAGTGCCAGGATATATTTCATTTCTGTTTCAGAACCCTGGCAATTATGGAATGAGAAATCATGCCTAACATCAATCAGAAAAATAATTACAGTAAAACATTAATTAAAAAATACTTAAAGAGATTTTAAAACCCCCTTAGCTTCAAATACTGAAGGAAGAAAAACCAGTAATGCAAAAGGCATTACAGCTGTACTACAATTCCCTTATCCATTAAAAGTATCCTCCTGAAATGCACATCATTCTGCATTCCAAGTACAGCTGAACAGGTCATGGGATTGTTCTCCTACTCCCCGTCCTTAGGCAACTGGCACCTCACAGCAGAAAAACAAGGCAGATCCAGACCTGCATCTTCCGGCGGGCTACGAGGGAAAACGGGGAAATTATACCTCACCCTACTAAAAGCTCTAGGGATGAGCAAAATCCCGCTGTTCAGTGGAGGGTCCTCCTGTTGCCAGTGTGTTGGCGCACCAAAGGCCTGGAGGATTTCAGCCACCACCGCCTGCAACGAAGCAGATACAAGGGTGAGAGTCTGAGCCAACACAGTGAATCCACGAAGAAACGAGGATCTCTGTGAGGAAACACGAACACTTCTGTGCCACCTCGGGTGCCCCCACCCTGGGAGCTGTGCGTTAGGACCCGCGAGCAGGAGCTGCGTGCCGCACTCCTCTGAGCGGGCAGAGGCTGTCAGTGTGACAGGGACCGCGCGCCCCGGGTTTGAGGAGCAGGTGTCGAGCTGACAGGAACATGGCGGCTGACTTGAGCAGAGCCCGGGCCCCGCGTTAGGGGCAGGAGGTCTGACCTGCCCCGAGGGGTGCCGTGCTGGAACTTCACATCTATTGACTCAAGGGAAAATAAATGATTAATCGTGTATCAACACACGGATTTATTTGGCCTTCCCTTGCCAGCTGCCCTTCCGGGGATGTAAATTTCTGTTCCCAAAGGGTGAGGCACCGCAGAACTTCCCTCCCCCGCGGGGCACCAACACTCCCCGTCAAAGCTACAATACTTAACACGCAGCGCACCG